GAATGACACGCCATTCATCTGCCGAACCTTTTAGCTCGCCGACACTGTAAGTGACTCAAATGCATCGCTTCCTGCCTTCATTAATTTCTAATCCGGGAGCAGACAGATTGAAGGATACCCAGATTAAACAGCGCAGTCAGACAGTCACATGTGACAAATAGGGCAGATTAAAAAGACTGAGCGCAGGTATTAATAACTGTAACAGCCCAACCGGGCCCCCCCCCCCACCTCCCGTCGCTATCCGAGTAGAACAAGGGAAGGAGCAGGAAGGCGGCGGTAGCGGAAATCTTCTGTTTTAAGGCACAACTAAAGCACATTGGTGTCACGGCTGTGTTTTCTCTCCTAAATAAATGAGTGTGACAAGCAGCACTGCTAGCAAGTAGATTTGTGTCGGAAAGGAAGCCCCCCCATCATGCTCGAGGTTGTTCCATTCGAATTTCATATGAACTCTTAATACAGTCGTGGCCTGACCTTGTGCAAGAGGGAAAATTTAGACAATGACCTTCTCAAAGGGAGACTTTTTTATTATTATTATAATTTTTTTTTAACATGGCTCAGTAAAGTCCTTTGCTGTCTGACGAACAAGGTTTAATAACAGCTTGTTAACGCAAAGACTTTAAAATGGCAACAACAACAACTTTATTGGATTGAGCGTACTTTGTTTCGAGCGTTACTCATTTTCTGGCAGGGTAGCGCCATTTCCATTCATCTCAATTCTCAACGTTTTGGTTTGCAGACTTCATTACTTGATGGGAACAACAACAATATATGCTAAACTAACACGCATTCATCATCAGGAACAGGGAATGGAAACAAAAAAAAAAAAAATAAAAAATAAAAAAAAAGGCCAGCCAAAGCCAAGAGCCGGAGAGCAGGAGAAATTCTACAGCCGCTGCCCTGGACTTGTTGCTCGTTAGCGAGTTAAATATTCCCTGGCAGTTTAAACAGCGATTAACAATTTAAATAACCCCGGCGCTGAGAGCTCGCGCTGACTCACTCGCAAAAGATGGCCGTACCCTAAGGTCTATTTAACAAGCCCATTATTACATTACGTGACGCTCCACAGCTCCAGTTTAACTGGTCGCTCCGAGCAAGCGCCGCAGGAAAGAATTAGCCTCAAAAACGAAGGCCTGCATTTAAGAGTGTGAAGAGGGAAATCAGATGTGAAAAGAGATTCCCCCCCCCCACCTCTATAAAGCGAGGAATTGGCCCACTACGTTACGACGATCGCTCAATGGCTCGCAGTTTTACGAGCATGGTTGGGAAGTATGTGTAGTGGAAACACCTACCGCAAAGAGCAAAAATCCATTGGCAAACGCCGCATGCCAAAAAGCTTCATTGCTGATGCCACAAGATGGTGGCATCAAACTTTCTCTATTAGAGAAGGATGTGGCCTGACAAAATGGAGCTCCTTCCCCTCACTTCAACTAAGTTGCTTAGCACCAAGAAGCCACAAAGTGGCACCAAGGCAATATGTTTCTAGTTATTACAATACAAAAGATGCAGGTGAGTTCCAGGTACTACTTTCATCCACTTGGGGTGGCCATCCTCGGGTTCTGCACTGTCGTATCTGCGACTGTGAGTGGCTTGAAAAGGCGGGGCCTGACCCGTTGAGTGACGTGGAAGTCAGCCAATGAGATGGTTGCTACTGAGAAATAGGGAGACTAGAAGAGTCATAGAAAGGCACAGCCGCGGATTTCCTCGCCGGCCACGCAAGCACGCGGGGAACAGAGTAAGAATTCGAGCCTGGGAAGTGTAAGGCAGACGTATGAGCCCCCACTTTGCCAAAACCAAGACTCTGAATGACAAAAGTTGCAGGCCTGAACTTCCTCCACTAAACAGACCCATTTAATTGGACACAACATTGATTGTATTTTACAGGAAAGCCCCCATCTCTCTTTACCGGTGTCACGCTATAACCCCCCCGTACCCTACAAACACACACACTCCAGCAAACAGTCTCTGGCGACCCCACAGGGGCATGCACAGAAACCCAGACAACATTTTAGACACCCCCCCCCC